GCGTTACGCCTTTTACAACACGGCTTTATATACAAACAATCTTTTAAAACCTTTTAGTTGACATCTGTACATCTTTTACACAAGAACCTTTAAGATTAGAGTACCCACCATTCCGATAGAAAATTACACCCTCTTTTAGGTAAAATTCTTGAATCTCCACTTTATTTCATATCCCATAATGAACACTGATAAGTCATAAAAAACAACTTAGAGTAGGAATCTTTTATAGGCATAATAGATGAAGCACAAATATCTAAACTTACTCTGAAGGAACAGTCCTAAAAACATTGAACAACCCAACAAGTTAATAGAAAAACAAGGATTGTAACGTTAACAAGAAAAACGTGTTGATTTCAATCACTCTTCAACAACTTCTGCACGTCTTTACACAGGAACCTTTTAAGAGTACCCACCATTCTGATAGAAAATTACACTCTTTTAGCTAAAATTCTTGAATCTCCACTTTAGTTCATATCCCATAATTAATTTTCAGTCATATTCACGTGGATGGGTTTGCAAGATGGTTTTCGTGGTTTTCCTCGTACTACTTTCGACTGCAGTTTTTGGGGAATGTACTTGTGAAGCCGACGAGGAAGATCTGAACAAAAGTTTAGCACTCAAATATAAGTTAGCTGCACTTGCTTCAATCTTCGTTGCGAGTGCAATTGGGGTTTGTTTTCCCGTTTTGGGGAAGACCGTACCAGCTTTGAGTCCAGAGAGAAGCTTTTTCTTCATTATAAAGGCTTCTGAAAGTCCTAAAACAATAATGCCTTTAATTGCTGCTTTGACCTTCCACCAATTCTTTGAAGGCATGGGGCTAGGAGGATGCATAACCCAGGTATTCACACGTGTAATTCTTGTCTCACGATGTCAAATTAATTATTGAATAATTTAGTAATTTTAGTAGTAATATAATTTGTAATTGAATAATTCTCAAAATAAATTAATTATTGAGAATTAAGAAATAAGAAAATAAAGGAAACATGGTTCATTTGGTGTAATGAGTTGGAGATAAATAAATATGATGGTGTGAAGGTTGCATCTTAGTGTTTTAGCTTAATTATTCGTGTTCTTAATTTGCAGGCTAAGTTTAAATCACGAGCAGTTGCAATAATGGCCCTCTTCTTCTCGCTCACAACCCCAATAGGCATCGTGATAGGCATCGGACTAACCAACATTTATAGTGAGATCAATCTCAATGCTCTTATTGTTGAAGGAATTTTTAACGCAGCATCGGCCGGAATCTTGATCTACATGGCACTAGTCGATCTTCTTTCAGCCGACTTTATGAGTCCAAGAATGCAAAGCAATGGAAAGCTTCAGTTAGGTGCAAATGTTTCTCTTCTTCTAGGCGTTGGATGTATGTC